ATTTTTATTATATTTACTTTATTCTAATAAAATTATATGAGCAGGATATTGCCTTTATAAAAAAAAAAAAAAAAAAAAAAGAGCTTTTAATTTAATCACATCGTCATTTTTCCACTCTGAAATATTTTCTTCAAATTTGATCAATTTAAGTTTTTTATGTTTTGGCAAAGAGTGCTCTACATATAGATGCTGGTTGCAATTCTTGGTGATGGTTGCAACCATATTTGTGACATATAAAAATGGTTTGTGACACCTGGTTGCAACCACTTTGCAACCACTTTGGTTTCCTTTTTTGGATTGCGACATGGAACACTAGCTCTACAGTTTCTTCTTTTTCTTTTTCTTGTTCCAAATTCTCGATTTGACTAACTCCTCATTTGATAATGTAATCCCAGATGTTGATTTCGTTTTCTAATTGAAAATGATCTTTTGCCAATATTGAACAAATCATTTGTTTTTCAATAGCTTTGTAATCAGAATCAAAAAATATATCAGGATTTTCACAAATCAATTCTTCACAATTATCTTGAAGAATATTAAAATGATATTGTAATGATAATTTATATATATCAATTAAATTTTTTTGGATCCATTCTTTTTCTTCAGTGATCAAATAATTTTGTAAGTCTTAAACAATTCATCAAAACATAACTTGTCACATGTTTCAAGTAGTTCAAAAATTTCATCTGGATTCATATTATTAAAATCAAAAATTCCATTATAAATGTATCTTTAAAAAAAAAAAAAAATGAATATTCAAGTAGTCTGTTTGTTTTAAAAACAGTTATTGTTATAAAAATAAATTAATTTAATCAATTTTTACGTTAAGAGAACTTCAAATATCCTGGGTGAAATATCATTCTTCTCAAATAAAATAATCCCATTTTCAGTGCTCTTTAACCAATTATTTGACAAAGAATGGATTTTTTGAAAGAAAATTTTCAAATCAATTATTATCACCATCATTCTTTTTAATAACTATAATAACCATTTGTAAAAAAAATGCTTACTCTAGAGCTTTGCGATTGGTTCTTTTTTGTTGTCATAATGTTAAAAAAAAAAAAAAATTTAGTTAGAGTGACGACGGGTGGCGGGCGATAACCTCCGATAAACACTTACCCAAAAAAATTTTCAGCTTTATTCTCTCTGTTTCTTCGTTTAACATTTTTTTTAGGCATGTTTATATTTTTAAAAAAGAGTTTGTTGATTGATCGATGTGTACACATTAATTATTTATCCTATTGGTTTTTTTTTTGGTAGGACAGACGCGAAT